CTTGCTGTGGTGTAACTACACGTCAGAGGGACCCCCAGGGGAGGTTTGTAGGAGAGGGAAGGGACCTCGTCTCCCAGGGGGGCGATTCCACACCCTGGGATTAAATGATTCTAATGATATTGCTTTGTGGAAGAGGGGAGATGAGGGAGACTCAGGGGCAGGGGGGGGCGAGGGGCAGGGGGGGGGGGTGAGGGGCAGGGGGTAAGGGGCAGGGGGGGCGAGGGGCAGGGGGTGAGAACAGCAGAAGCCGCAACACAACTCAGCGGAAGTAGGAGCTTCTTATAAATGGCAGCAGGGCGGCCTCTGAACTGAACCGTGGGCGTGGACCCCACCTGGTGGTGTGGGCGTGGACCCCCACCTGGTGGTTTGGGCGTGGACCCCACCTGGTGGTGTGGGCGTGGACCCCACCTGGTGGTGTAGGCGTGGAGCCCCACCTGGTGGTGTAGGCGTGGACCCCCACCTGGTGGTGTGGGCGTGGACCCCCACCTGGTGGTGTAGGCGTGGACCCCCACCTGGTGGTGTGGGCGTGGACCCCCACCTGGTGGTGTAGGCGTGGACCCCCACCTGGTGGTGTAGGCGTGGACCCCCACCTGGTCGTGTGGGCGTGGACCCCCACCTGGTGGTGTAGGCGTGGACCCCCACCTGGTGGTGTGGGCGTGGACCCCCACCTGGTGGTGTGGGCGTGGACCCCCACCTGGTGGTGTAGGCGTGGACCCCCACCTGGTGGTGTGGGCGTGGACCCCCACCTGGTGGTGTGGGCGTGGACCCCCACCTGGTGGTGTAGGCGTGGACCCCCACCTGGTGGTGTAGGCGTGGACCCCACCTGGTGGTGTAGGCGTGGACCCCACCTGGTGGTGTAGACGTGGACCCCACCTGGTGGTGTAGGCGTGGACCCCACCTGGTGTAGGCGTGGACCCCACCTGGTGGTGTAGGCGTGGACCCCACCTGGTGGTGTAGGCGTGGACCCCACCTGGTGGTGTAGGCGTGGACCCCACCTGGTGGTGTAGGCGTGGACCCCACCTGGTGGTGTAGGCGTGGACCCCACCTGGTGGTGTAGGCGTGGACCCCACCTGGTGGTGTAGGCGTGGACCCCACCTGGTGGTGTAGGCGTGGACCCCCACCTGGTGGTGTAGGCGTGGACCCCCACCTGGTGGTGTAGGCGTGGACCCCACCTGGTGGTGTAGGCGTGGACCCCACCTGGTGGTGTAGGCGTGGACCCCACCTGGTGGTGTAGGCGTGGACCCCACCTGGTGGTGTAGGCGTGGACCCCCACCTGGTGGTGTAGGCGTGGACCCCCACCTGGTGGTTTAGGCGTGGACCCCCACCTGGTGGTGTGGGGGTCCACGGCGGCCTCACGTTGTAAACCTGTACGGCAACATGTTCACTACACGAATCACTGGGACAACATAATCGGTGTTACCAAGTAATGACTAGAAGTATTATTTGTTACGTGTCCATGTGGCTCCGACATAGACTGTGTCGCTGTCAGACATGCTACGGGCTCACCATAGCCCGTGCTACTTGGAACTTTTTGTTCCAGGTAGCGAATCTTTAACAACAACAACATGTCAGACATGCGCAACATACTCTACTCCGTCCTCCTAAGGTTCCCCAACGGCAAGAAACTCTCGTGCTAAAGTGCCCCTCATCCTAACCTACCAGAGAACCCAAAACAGAAAACGGGACAGTACGTCAATTTCACGAGCCGATTTCATTTGCTAGTTCGGCGATTTTTGGCCTTAAGTAGAGCATACTCCTCAAGCGACATAAAATTCTTGCGAGTGTCAAAAAGTGCTAAAACATGGGCTCTCCAAGAAGGGGTTCGATTCCCAAGTGTTAAAAGCAGTTACGGAACTGTTAGGCTTGCAATTAAAATACCCGAAGACTCCCTCCCCCATAACTACAGTGATATTGCCAAGAAAAACTGAACTCTGTACTAAGTATAGGAGGCAACAGGAATATGATAAAGTCTCATCACAAATCAGTTGGCTACCTTGACGGACTCCGCCTGCTTGAGTAAGACCATGAGTGTGGGGAGGGGTGGGGAGGACCTCCTTGCTGGGGTGGAATACCCAACACCACAACCAAAATGTCTGATACTATAAGCAAAGAGGCCTAAACATCTTGAGGAAATTGATAAAGTCACCAGAAATTAATTAGATCTAATCTACACTGGTGGTTCTTCTATTACCAATGGCAGGGCTGGTGCAGCATACACTGTAATTAGGAATATTGTCTTTCAAAAAGGAAATGAGGGAAAATCACGCATAGAGAACTATGCCTCGTCAATGGAATGAGTTGTTGTTGTTTAAGATTCACTAGAGGGGGCCTCGTAGCCTGGTGGATAGCGCGCAGGACTCGTAATTCTGTGGCGCGGGTTCGATTCCCGCACGAGGCAGAAACAAATGGGCAAAGTTTCTTTTACCCTGAATGCCCCTGTTACCTAGCAGTAAATAGGTACCTGGGAGTTAGTCAGCTGTCACGGGCTGCTTCCTGGGGGTGGAGGCCTGGTCGAGGACCGGGCCGCGGGGACACTAAAAAGCCCCGAAATCATCTCAAGATAACCTCAAGATAACCTGGAACAAAAATTTCCAAGTAGCACGGGCTATGGTGAGCCCGAAGGTAACGGAAGGAGAGTTAACTGCCATTGTTATGGCGTTAAGATACCGAGAAAGAACAACAAAAGGAGCTGTGATCTGCACTGATTCAAAAGCCACACTTCAAAGCTTTAGCCAAAAACCAGACACGAACCCTGGCGATTGTCGCCAAAACCAAGAGAGCTGTGAAAATACTAACCATCAAATGTGATCAAATTCCTGTGGCTTCCCTCCCACGTTGGCGTCAGTGGAAATGAACGAGCAGATGTGCTGGCTACTGAGGGTGCTACTGGAGACCGTACTTCATACCCAAGATTATATACTACAAGTTAGAGGCATCATCAACCAACAACAACAGTGCCAAGGTAATTAGAGAAAGGAGGACAGAAGAACAGATCAGTGAGTCTGTATGCTGGCACCATGTGGTCGAAGCTGGCACTCCCAGTCATTATGGAGGAAGGGGAGGTGGCAGAGAGAGAGAGAGAGCGAGCGTGTAATAGCAAGAAGTCATCTTCGGTACAGATATCCATGAAGTTCCGTGATGGAAACAGCTACGCAGCGGAAGGATCGAAACGTCGTCGTCCCTTCACTTTCTAGTGTGTGGTTTGGTCAACACTAAGCAGCGGAGGAACAGTTGACCAGACCACACACTAGAAGGTGAAGGGACGACGACGTTTCGGTCCGTCCTGGACCATTCTCAAGTCGATTGTGATGAGGAAGTAGATGCAGGCAAAGTCTTACCACAGACAAAGTCTGTGTCTGGTAAGAGTGACGGACATCGCCTTGACCATCACCTGAGACATTGTGCCCACCTAAGAGGCATTAGAAATATGAATAGAATAATGCCTAATATTTTTTTTAATTAGGAAAGCACTATGTGCCAAATGTAGATTTTGTACTTATAAGATTTCCCAACTTTGCACCCGTAAGATAACGTAAGTTTAGGGGGTTGGTAAATGTTAATCTTCTTGTTTGATCAACAAAGAAGATTAACACACCTGGGATTTACTTATCTGTCTCAAGTGATAGTTAAGCAAGTCCCAGTTGTGTCTGGGTACAAGATGATGAACAACCCAGCGGGTATTCTTCCTATTGGGGAGTGTTTTATACACTGATATGGCACTGTGTTCACTCACAGCATGAGTAACGCTGCCCAGTACTGTCACTATGGCAGTGTGTTCATTCACAGCATGAGTAACGCTGCCCCAGTACTGTCACTATGGCAGTGTGTTCACTCACAGCATGAGTAACGCTGCCCGAGTACTGTCACTGAGGCAGTGTGTTCACTCACAGCATGAGTAACGCTGCCCCAGTACTGTCACTGTGGCAGTGTGTTAACTCACAGCATTTCTCTTGTTAGGGTGATGTCATGGGCTTGTCTCATGCGATTCTTAGGGGCACCGGATTGAAAATGGCAGGTCAAACGCCTCGTCAGCTTGGTCGACGTCAGACCTATGTACTTAGATTGAAGGTTACATCCTTCGTGGGGGCATCTGCCCCCACGATGCCAACACAGAAGACATTGCACAACATATATATATTGTGTGTGTGTGTGTAAATGCTAAAAGAACTTGTTTCGCATGTTTCTAGTTGCGTGCCCTCTATAGAAGATGAAGGAGAGAGAGAGAGAGAGATGTAGAGGTGAGAAGTATCGGGTATATGTTACTATCTTAAGGTTAGGCGCCCACTAGACATGGGTAGATGGGTAGGGGATGGAGGCAGGTGGGGAGAGAGTGGGAATTAAGGTAGGAGGGGAGAGGGAGGAAGGAAGGAGGGGAGAGAAGGTAAGGAAGGTAAGAGGAAGAGGGGACAAGTGAGGGTGTTGATGTTGTCTCAGTCATCAACTGCAGCAACTTGCATGCCAGCCAGTTTTCCCAGTGATAATATTAACACACTAATGCTATGATAATCCCTATGTTAGGTTATCAGACAAGCTTAAGCTGGGGATAAGAGTAACAAGCTGAGGGATAAGCCGGTGACAGGAGGTGACGAAGGGGAAGGGAGTGTGACGGGGGCGTGACAGGGGAGGTGTGACGGTCAGGATGTGTAACAGGGGTGTATGATGGTGGACGTGTGACGAGGTGTGTTGGGGTGTATGAAGGGGGAGGGATAATGGGGGAGGGGGGGGGGAGTTGTGATAACCATGGTGTCAAACTTATGTTATCACTATGTTATCTTGATGAGTCATAGTCTTCTTCTCTCACTAATACCATCACCATCACCTCTTCCACCTCCACAATCACATACCTCTTCGTCTCTGTTTCTTCTTGACATGATCGTTCAAAGGATAGACTGTGTCAGTGTTCGGTGGACGGATCAATAACTCTAGTGTCTTAGGTGGCCAGACGAGCACCTCTGGCGACTCCAGCTGACGATAATCCTTCAATTTTTGTCTCCCCTCAGATCTGGTTCAAGAATCGGCGGGCAAAGTGGCGTAAGCGGGAACGTCACGTGATGTCGGCGGCCATGCCTGGAGATTTGAAATGCGGCTGGGGGGCTCAGCTCAACGGTTTCGCCTGGCCCGACGATGGTCTCTACTCCGGCTACTCCTCTTACAACAACTGGGCTCGGGTCACGCCGCCGCCTCTCAGCACCAAGAGCTTCACATGGGGCTTCAACGGCGTCAATATGATGGGGCAACAGACGGCAACGATGTCCCCGATCAACTGCTTCCAGACACCGACGCAAGGTATGAGTGGGTCGGCCTCAGCTGCTGGCATCATGCCCACCAGCATGTCCTCCTCCCTGGGGTCTAGCGGCGCCCCCTGCCCCTACCCAGCCCCAACACCCCCTTACGTCTACCGCGACCAGACTTCATCCATGTCCTCCTCCATCGCCTCGCTCCGCCTCAAGGCCAAGTCCCACTCGCCGGCCTTCACCTATGCCCCGATGTCTCCACGTCAGAACTCCCTCTCCGCCTGCCAGTACTCCATGAGTGATCGGTCCACCGTTTAAACAGAAAATGAACGCCGCTGTCGACACCGTTTACTGAAGCTACAACCCGATTCTTCTGTAAATAAAACAGTCCGGCTTTCGTTGACGGACTGTTTCGTTGAGTCGGACAATGTTACAGCGATACTGGTCCGTCATAAATATAACCGGAATACACTACCACATCCGGACATCTCCGTGGCATCCTGACGACTTTGCTTTAATCGTACCCTCCAGTCGTTTCCGGTCTGCACGCTAAACAGACCCGGACGACACTCGCATCCAAATTCCTCCTGGCAACAGAGCAACTGTCGGGAGGACATAAAAAAGGTTCCGGCACTTGGTGTATTCTAAATATCAAATAGAAGTTCCCTACAGGACATGAAGAAGACCCAGGCACGGAGTGTGTTCTAAACATCCAGCAAGTGTCCTACAAGTCACCATAAGCCCCAGCAGGCAGCAGGTCGTCGCTTGTGTTACTGAACTGCCCAACAGCCAGTCATCTCCTCGACCTTTTGACGAAGGTCTCATAAACCTTACGGTCTCTTACGGAGCCTACAACAGGCAACCACGTAACAGAGCCGACATCTGTTGACTGCAGTGCTTTGTAAGCAATATTTCCACCTCTGGAAAATCCATGGAGTTCCGTCATTACGATGTTGATATCGTATAGTGACAAAAACATTTTCCATTTATATACATAGATACAATTAACACCAGAGATAGAAATGATGTGCTAAACGCAGATAAAAGGGACGAACTTTTCCCAAAGGAAAATTGAAATAATGAAAACGATGCAGTTGTTGCACTGTGAGATTTCCATTAAGGTGTTGGGTAGCATTCTTGTGCCGTACAAAGCAGAAATATAAAGAAGGTCCAAATGAAAGAACTCTTGACACAAAACTCCAGGTTGGACTGTAGCTCCGGCTTTCGGCGAGAACGTAAAGTACTGAGCATTAAATGCATTAAATATATGTGTATTATCCGAATTATGTCTTTGAAGCCAGTGCTTCCCAGCAGAATGAAAGGCTAAATGTGTGAATGTCTTGAAAGATATTCTGTTTATAGAAGACTTTGTGGTAATCTTCCACAGCCGCAAGATTATCTGTTGGGGGGGGGTCAAATGCCAGTTGCAATCTGGAACGATTGAATGCCTTACAGTGACTCTTGGCAACATTCTAGCGTAGTGGAATACCTTAGCGATTTCAGGAGATAGTCTGGAGAAGTGTATTGTCTTACAGTGGCTCCTGGAAACAGTCTGGAGCAATGGTTTGCCTTACAGTGATTCCTGGAAACAGTCTGGAGTAGTGGAATTCCTTACAGTAAGTTCAGAAGACAGTCTGTAGCAGTGGACGGCATGCTTTAGCATGTGGCATGCTAAAATACTGTTTCGACCATGGAAGGTGGAGTTATTATTGCTGCCTGAATACTGGAATGTAAAAGCAGCTCAAAGGGCAATACTTTGGCAACTCTTCATATAGTAAAACCATAGTCTTGATAAATGGAATCTTTTGTCGCCATCTGAAAAGCACAGTGATCTATGTAGAAACAATTCCTGCTGCAATCCAGAACAGTTTGTTGACAAAATAAAAAGCTCTAGGCAGAAGATAAGCGACTGCATCAAGGCTTTTCCAATCATATGTCTGCAACTCACGTCAGTACTTCAAAATTAAATAATTTTTCTCCCAATCACTCACACAAACAGACCCTCTTCCCCATGATTGTCCTCGAAAGGGCCAAGAAAAATGACGACACAGTGCTGTTTTTATTTCACATTTCCGCATCCAGGGTGAAATGATAGTTGAACGTTCCCGTGAGCCCGTCTTTCCAGCCTGTAAAAGCCTAAAGTGCGTTCAGGCTTCTCTAGATTCCTCGCCAAGAAAGGAAACTCGCTATTTTGTTTCTGTGCGGTCTCTCTCGCCATAACAACAAACCATTTATGCGTGAAAACGCGACCCCCACGTCCTCCACGACCTTGTACAGAGACGAGACAAAGTTTCCATCGTGTGTAAGAAGCCTAGCGTGAATAAATAGAAAATTTTAATGACATGGCAAATTCAGATACTGATGATTGTATCAGCAATCTCGTGTGATTTGCAGGTGCCACAGACTCTTAGCAAGAGACGTGGCAATTAATGTTTGTGTTGTGGTGCGCGACTTGTGGGGAAACACTGGCAGTTATAATCTCAAAAAAGTGTCGTTTGAAAGCTTTGAGGGGAAACCCCTTTCCTTGCACACTCTTTCTCAAAGCCCTTCCAGTTACGCATAAGAAGGGCTAATAGAGGAAGGTTTGTGACTTCAGAGGGCCAGGGATCAGCGCCGAAAGCTACAGAGGAAATTTTTTTAAATTATTAAAAATTGAATTGAATTTATATATGACCAGAAATTCTGACTGAGTGAAGTTAGTTACACGAAACTGTGTGTGTGTGTGTGTGTGTGTGTGTGTGTGTGTGTGTGTGTGTGTGTGTGTGTGTGTGTGTGTGTGTGTGTGTGTGTGTGTGTGTTTGTGTGTGTTTGTGTGTGTGTGTGTGTGTGTGTGTGTGTGTGTGTGTGTGTGTGTGTGTGTGTGTGTGTGTGTGTGTGTGTGTGCGTGCGTGTGTGTATGTGTGTGTGTGTGTATGTGTGTGTGTGTGTGTTTGTTTGTGTGTGTGTGTGTGTCTGCGATGTTGGTGACTACCGAAAATTAGAATATCATTTTTAAGAGATCTTGTAAGATGTTATAGAAAGGTGTAGGGAAAAGTGATATTATTATTATATGTGATTTTTTCCTTCGTAAATTTGTAAATAATCGTATATTGTAAATGTTGTAAGTGATGCCAAGTCTTCCAGGAGTAAAAACTAAAAAAAAAAAAAATAGAAAAAACTGAACTTTAAGACAAACACTAAGGCAAAGAAATTATCAAGAGTGTGATGGATTTTTTTCAATGGTCTGTTTAATATACAATTAAATTTCGCTGTAGTCGGACATCGTAGCTTGACCTTTTTTTTTTTCAACCCTCAAAAAAATATATTGAGATTAGAAAGCGTAATGTGTATCACTAGTTTTAAAACCCATCCGCATGTTATATATTTTGCTATGTTGAGTACGAGAGGGAGTGATACATTATGGACAATTATATATGTATATAAAGGAACCATATAAGTGGCTTACTTATAGAAGTGACACTTAGCTAAATTACTTTGAAGAATACTGGAAAAAATACGATCAAAATATTAAATTATTGATTCTAAATGTAATTATATCACAGGCAACTGAGGGTTTTAGGATTTCAATTACGTGATATTATTATCATTATGATTATTGTAATTATTATTATAATTATGAATAATTCTTTGTATACATGTCATATGTGTTCGTTACTCGGGTTGTTTTTTGAAGCCTGACGCCCCACATTGATGTACAGATGTGTGTAGTGAAGGTCTGGCCTTGCCTTGTGTACTGCACTGTCTTGAAATACTTTATTGTGTCATTTGTCAATTATTTACAAGATCACTTCAATTCTTGACCTGACCACTGTAATTATAATAATTTGTATTTTATTTATTTTATTATTTTGTCATTATTTGTTCTTATTATTATTAATATTAAATCATTTTATCATTATCTTTCAATAGACGATACTCAAACTAATTTTGATATTATTGTATTTAAATAATGATTGTATATAGTGTATTTTCTCCAATTTTAAAATGTTTCTAGAACTATAGTTAGTTACAAAATAGCAGGAGGAATAATTAGACTATTAAATATTGACCAACTCGAAAGAAGGGGTGTGTTCCACTGTGTATATGAATAATGTTGTATATACAATTGATAGCTAAACACTGTTTTTGTTTTTTTAACAGTGAACATAACCTTTTCATTCTGTGAGGAAGGTGAGATGTGAATTTGTCTCATCTCTTCTAAGATTCTCTCCAGTTTGAAGTTTGGTCTGCTCTAAAATTGTATTCGTTCCCTCCATGAAAGATCACATTTTCACACACTGATGATGATGAAACTTTTTTTTTTCTTTATTAAATAATATGAAACTAGCCAATTTGTGTCACCAGATCAGCCACACACAAAGTATCTACCAACACGATTTAAAATTCCTCCATATATATATAATCATTCTCATGGGAAATTATAATTCTCGATAACACATTCAAAACATTATATTCTCCCACTGAAGGTCACGTTTTCCTTCAAGGTCACCAATACGGCTGATAAAAGGCCACTAATTAATTCAATTAAGCATGGTTGGAAATCTTATTAAATTGCGCTCGTGGCCAGTATGTGAGTACAGCCCATTGTTGCTTCGACGACCGACAAAGGTTTCTAAGTCATTGAGAAAACTATACTATTTTTGTACATAGCTGAGCTGCTTGTAATGCTAAATCGATCATAAACTATGTCTAGGACGTCCTCTAATTGATGATATTTTAGTCATTTTAAATAAAATTGATGTCGTAATTCCATTTGCTTTTCTGTATCCTAGTAAGATAAAGGTCGGGCTTGTGTGCCCTGTTTCTACAACGGTTATATAAATGTTCATTGAAATTAAGGCAAACAGCAACAGACTGTTGAATCCAAACTAAAATAGATAGTTGGGTTCAAAAGAGAAATACTGTTTTCCACCCCATCCACCCCCCCCCCTCCTCCCTTTGGGATCTATCCATGTATTTCAATATTAAAAAAATAAACGATATATTTTTTTTTTGTAAAACTGAATCTCTGAACAGAAATGGATTTATTTATCTGTTTCATGATTCAAAAATATTGTGTGTGAATATAGTAGCCTAAAAGTCGTATACCTACGCCAGTATGTTAATAAAAATATGACAGTGTGTGTGTGTGTGTGTGCAGTATTTCATCAGTTTATGAGCTCTTTCATTAGTGAATTGTGTTTTTAAATCCATTTTCAATTTGCAATGCCATACATCCAGCTTCCAATCGTCCGCTAGGATTTCCATCTGCAGAAGCAATAGCAATTCAACAGCTAATCCAAAGGTAATATAACAAAAATTATTATATATATATACAGTATATTATATATATAATATATATATATATATATATATATATATATATATATATATATATATATATTTATATATATATAGAAGGGGTACCACCTCTTGTGCAAGTGTAGGGACCCATAGCCCTATATATATATATATATATATATATATATATATATAATTTTTTTTTACCTAGAAGGGGTACCCCCTCTGGTGCAAGTGTAGGGACCCATAACTTCGGAGAAGAAAATAAAGAGTACTCAGAGAAGACCTTGTGGATCCTTACTGAACACTTTGATATTTTCTTCTCCTACCACCCCTATTCTTTTGGTATGTGTGTATATTTATCTAACTTTATTTGAAAATGTCATTACACAAAAAAGTTATAACATTGGTTACATATATATTTATATATTACACATATAATATATATATATAAATATATATATATATAATGTATACATATGTATTTGAATATGACAGAAAAGGTTAGATCGTTGATTCTAGCACATTTCTCCTCTATATTTCTTATGTTCTTCTTTACTGGAGAAAGAAAGTTGAAAACCAAATGTTAATTTTAATAGTTTTAAATGGCCTGACGATAAGAGGGACGTCTCATTAACGCAATCAACGCTCAATTTCATTCACTCTCTTAAGAAATATGAACAGTAGTAGTTATCATCAACCATCACTTTCAAATAAAAGTATGCAAATTATTAAAAAATAAATATGGTTTATTTAGAAGGCGTTTCGAGAGGGTTGGTACGCCTGTCAGCGCGGGTTACCAGCTGACGGCTGAACAACAAGCCGCTGTGAGCTATTTTTTTTTTATTTACCGCAATTATCGCCAAAAGATGGACAGTTTCCAAGAAAATAGTTGTCAGTGTCAACGTGGCTTAAGTCCGCAGTGTTCTAGAGACCGTTTATCGCCACAAACTTGGACAGGAAACTTGAAAAATCAAGGAAATAAGTGAGGAGGTGGCGGAGGGTCGCCGTCGACTGCTCCAATTCTTCCCTGGGATGAAGGTAAGTAACCATATATATATATATATTATATATGTGTGTGTGACTTACACACACCCGTATTTCCTAACATTTAGGCAAAATAATTTATTTGGAGACCAAATGTATGACTGTAAGGTTTGCATAAGTTAAGATGTTAGGCCTACATAAATTAATCTGTTAAGTCTATATAAATTTAAATTAAGCTGTTAGGTCGACATTAATTAGGCTGTTAGGTCTACATAAATTTGAATTAAGCTGTTAGGTTTACATAAATTTAAATTAAGCCGTTAAGTGTACAGTAAATAGACGGTTTGGTCTTCATAAATTTAAATTAAGCTATTAGGTCTACATAAATTTTAATTAAGCTGTTAGGTTTAAATAAATTAAGTTCTTAGGACTACATAAATTAAGCAGTTAGGTCTACATAAATTAAGCCGTTAGGTCTACATAAATTAAGCTGTTAGGCCTACATAAATTAAGCTGTTAGGTCTACATAAATTAAGCTGTTAGGTCTACATAAATTAAGCTGTTAGGTCTACATAAATTTTAATTAAGCTGTTAGGTTTAAATAAATTAAGTTCTTAGGACTACATAAATTAAGCAGTTAGGTCTACATAAATTAAGCTGTTAGGTCTACATAAATTAAGCTGTTAGGTCTACATAAATTAAGCTGTTAGGTCTACATAAATTAAGCTGTCAGGTCTACATAAATTAAGCTGTTAGGTCTACATAAATTAAGCCGTTAGGTCTACATAAATTAAGCTGTTAGGTCTACATAAATTAAGCTGTTAGGTCTACATAAATTAAGCTGTTAGGTCTACATAAATTAAGCTGTTAGGTCTACATAAATTAAGCTGTCAGGTCTACATAAATTAGGCTGTTAGGTCTACATAAATTAAGCCGTTAGGTCTACATAAATTAAGCTGTTAGGCCTACATAAATTAAGCTGTTAGGTCTACATAAATTAAGCTGTTAGGTCTACATAAATTAAGCTGTTAGGTCTACATAAATTAAGCTGTTAGGTCTACATAAATTAAGCTGTTAGGGCTACATAAATTAAGCCGTTAGGTCTACATAAATTAAGCCGTTAGGTCTACATAAATTAAGCTGTTAGGCCTACATAAATTAAGCTGTTAGGTCTACATAAATTAAGCTGTTAGGTCTACATAAATTAAGCTGTTAGGGCTACATAAATTAAGCTGTTATGTCTACATAAATTAAGCTGTTAGGTCTACATAAATTAAGCTGTCAGTGCTACATAAATTAAGCTGTTAGGTCTACATAAATTAAGCTGTCAGTGCTACATAAATTATGCAATGTAGGCTCATTGCAAATTTATTTTTCGTGTTTATTAGTTTCTATCGTATGGTTGAACAGCCTCGTCAGTATACATTGTCCTCATCTGGTGAACGCCATGTATCGCGTCACCTAAATACCGGATTACCGCCGCGAGCTAACTGATTAAAGTGAGTTAATTATCTCAGGTAGTTTAAGGGGACGGGTGAGGGGACACGGAGGAGAGGG